ATGTTGATGATTTTTTTTTTAATTGTAGGTTGACTTTTTGGTTACGATGCTATGATTTGTATTCTGATTTTTATTTGGGCATATACTGTGCAAAACTAAGACCTTTTTTGTCCTTAAACTTGAACACCCTGTGGGATGCATTAGAAATAACAGCGGATGCCAATTAGAATAATACTGTAGTTCTATCTTTTCTGAACATTTTGTTTTTTTATTCAGTGAAGTAATCCTATTTGACACATAATATTGACTTCGTTTCAAAATAACTGTCATCCGTTTCAAGGCTTTACATTTATTTTTTTTTATATGCGAAGACTTTATCCGGTGCACTGTTCAAAATTTCATGACCATTTTAACACCATACATGGTCTATATCGATACAAACCAAAATGGTGTTAAATTTGGTTTATTGGTCCAGTGAAAATTCAAATACTTAAATAGTGTAAATTTAACTTTCACACAGTATCAAAATAAATTTTACCTGGTGTAAATTGAACTCCTTTTCAGTGTTAAATATTATGTGTTTTTGGTCAAATTAAATCATACTAAGTGTAAAGTGTACTTCTCAGTAGTTCGAAAAGATCAAATATTTTTATATAAACTCCGTTCTGATGTTTGCTGTATATAACATTTTCAACCATAATTCATGGTGTTTATATTAACACCACTAGGTGTTGGATTTAGACACCATTTTTAGATTACCCTTTACACCACATATATTTTAAACAGTGTGCGTTTGCTTTGAAACAGTGTATCTTTGTTAATAACTAAGATAATAACGCAAATAAAAAAACAAAATGTTCAATAAAAATATATCTATATCTATAGCCCTATACTATAGAGGTGGGCCTATAGGTCTACAGTAAAATTCCAATTAACATTTGCTAAATCCCAAGAGTTGTCACAAATTTCTGAATAAAAATTCTACCCACTTTTCCAACCTGTATACATATGTATATGGGTGAATATCCAAAACGGGGATAAATTGGGATGGTAAAAAAATAAAAAGTAAAGATTAATAAAACACCAGCAAAATAATACCTCAATCTGTATTTCTTAATAACATAAGTAATTTCAAGGCGGCTATAAATTAAACTTTATATATACATATAATTATAATAATAATATATTAATAGTATACTATTAGAGAATTTTTTTAAAGAAAAATTAAATTAAATTTATTATAATTTAACTATATATTATTAATTATCGTTAATAATGCCTTAACTTATATGAGCTAAGAGTTTAGGGCAATAATAAGAAAGTAAACAACTCCATGGACATACCTTTAACTCCATGGAGTTGATGTCCATGGAGTTGATGTTTTTATAGTTAAAGTCACAAACTTTAGAAAACGGTACATAATGTATCTTTAGTTTACTGTAATTTAAGCAAAGCATATTTGGTTATTTCACCTGGAGAAAGTTTAAATTTCAATTGCATTTAAATCCCTTTGTTATTAAAGACATGGAGTTGATCTTTAATAAAAATACTTACCCGTTTTTTCGCAAATAATTGTTCTTTATAAATTTTTATTAAAAATTACACCCACTTTGCCTTGCTTACACAAATCAACACTAAATCACTCAAACGACGAAGTCTTCAAACATTACTAAAATACGTTTTATACAGGGGATTTATCATATATTAAAAGACTGCAAAGAACTCAGCTGTAAAATGGTGTCTCAGCTTTATTCGACATTTTGGTTTAAAATATCAATAAGTTTGCTTTTGGTTGTGTTTTTTTATACATTTCAAGTTAGAGGAAATGCAATATGAAAGAATCATTTCACAATTGCATCTAGTCTAATAGTATATGGATGATTTGTTGTCCCTACGCTAGGTGGTGACAGTCCATGGAGTTGACTTTAAAGCGTTTAAGCAAATTCAAATTAATAAAATAAATAATGTTTTATTTTTTTGGTTAAGTACGTTCTACTGCTAGACATAAACTGTCTATTGTAGTGTTATTTAAATGCTAACTACTTTCATTAGTATATTTTATTTAAGAGTTTCAGCTTATTTGCTCCGTTCTGGAGAATCACCCATATATGCATAAGCATATATGCTTAAATTTAATAAAAAATCAAAACAATCAGACAAGCAGTTCGCGAGATAATAAGAGATAATAACGTGAAGGAAAACCAATATATTCAGAAAAGAAATACCTAACTACAGTATGATTTCAATTTGTTATTGCTGATGCGCACCACAGGTTGTCACAATTTTTTAGAAAAAACTACTTTTTAACCTTGTACATGCTAAAATAAAAATAAAATAAAAATGTCTACCATAGCTTAGTTATTAAAGAGTCAACTTACATTAAAAATAAAAATCATCAAAATCAGATGAGCGGTAGGTGCGTTTTTTGATTTGGCATTTTTAGCTACCTAATTAACGTGAAATAAAAATATATGGGGAGCAAGAAAAATGCGAGAATTCACTATGAGTTTGTTGTCAAAATATTGTTATTTTTGCCGTCCCTGTATCTCCCTAAAAATATATAACTAGGCATTTGTTTAAAAACTGCGTTTTGCAGAAGATAAATATGCCATCCTGTGAATATCGCGGCGCAAATGTTTAATGTTTCCAGTGTTGTCATAGAGATGGACTTTACGTACTTGTTCGAAAACCTTCGAATGTTTTAATTGAAATCGGCGCCAGTGAAGTGAACTGAGCTCTAACTGTCACATGTAAGGCGTCATGATTAACAATAAGATGACATAAAAATTTGTGTGCTAATTTATTTTCCCAGGTTTGTAATTTTATTTTTATCTTCTCTTGTGCATTGTGCAAAATTTATTTTACCCATTTTACAAGTTTTAAACAATTTTAAATTCATTTTTATTTCAGTCACAATTTTATTTAAAATTATTTATAAATAAATTTAATATTTTAACGTTATTTACTTTCAAATATAATTTTAATTGTTTGCTTTGCATTTTCTGATTTAATTAAATTAACATTTTTTTAAAAACAATTTATGTAAAGTAAATATTTTATATATTGTTTTAATTTATTTTGTAGTTGAATATTTTACCTATGATATGGTAATAAATAAAATACATTTTAAAGGTAATAATTACCATAATTTATTTAGCATAAAATTATCCATAGAAATAATATTTTAATAAAATTAAATATAGCTTATTGGCTAATAATTTTATTTTTTACGTTCCCTATTTAAAATATAAAGTACTATAAATACTCCTTTGTGTGTATATTTTTTATTTGAAGATCTCTAGGGTCGGTTAGAAAAAAGTCTAATAAAATGGCATTTAAAAAATTAAGCAGTTCTCAAATAATTTAAATATAACTAAAAACATGTCAAAACCAAAAATACATATTTATCTATATTTTTATTCAACTTGTGATTTTTTGCCCACTAGATTTTTACTAAAAAAAATTTTTAGTTACCACCACACATGGTTAGATAAAAAAAATCAAGGATCAAAGGAATCAATATAAATGTGTACGATTGCAAGTAAAACTTATATTTTTTCAAAAGGTTTGGTTTTTGTTTTTTATTAATATTTTAGGAACCTCTGGTGTTTTTTTAATTTATAAATACAATTTTAAGCTTGTGATTACGCAATTTTTCTTTAAAATAACCAACCGAAAAATTCACTCCATATACAGTGTGTTTCATTTTGATTGGCGACAATTCGGTATTTATTTAAAAATAGATCGATCTCAAATTTTTTTGTTTTAAGTTTGTAGTACTCTAAAAGCTCTATCTTTAAAAAAAACTTTGTCATTTGTCATTTACACGACCCTCTATGATTAATAGAAGGTCTCCAAAATCTTTAAAAGTTATTAGGCATCTTTTAAATTTAAAAATGAGCAGCGATTCTGAATTTGTCATGCCCAAAAACGTACTTTCAAAAATAAAATAGATAAAAAATATTCAAAGACGTATTTTATAAAAAAAAAAGTTTTTGATAAAAAAATAATTTTTCAGTTTGTTATTTTTTTCCTCCGCATTTTCAATGACATTTGTAAACATTTTAAAGTTGAAAATATTTTTTTGTTGCTCTTTTAAGCTAAACTTTTTGCATATTTATATATTTATTTAAATAATAAAATAAGTAAGATTATAAAAAAATAAAAAAAAATTCAATTAAAAATAGAAAGAAGTTGGCCCAATGGGATTTGCGTCATTAAACGCAGCACAAATTAAAAGTTTTTAGAAAAATTAAAAAAATTATGATTTTTTTTGAAAAATCTGAACATTTTTATATATGACTGAATATTTTGAATTTTTATCTAAAAATACGTTTAAAACATTTTTTTTTTAAAACATTTCGTTTATGCAGTTTTAAAAAAGTTATGAGTATTAAAAAATACCACCATTTTTTAAATTCATAACTTTTTTAGTTTGGGTAAATTTTTTTTTTTAAATCTACAAAAAAGGTTTGGTGAGGTATTACAAAACAAATTTTTAGCCCAATCAAATGTGGTCGATTTGACGTGGAATGCCCCATATGTATAAATTATATAATGCTAGTGCGCTATTTTCGAGACACCTTTTTTGATTGTATATTCACATAATAAACAGTTTTTTTATTATTATACGGTTGTAATATAGAGTAAAATAATACTAAATTTTATTATAATTAATTTATGCTTGTGTATGCTGTATTTTAAAATAAAATTTTAGTAACCAATTAAATACTTACAAAAACTAAAGATTTGGCATAATTTATTCAACATATCGTTTATCAATAAGGTATAATCGATTGTTAAATAATTATCATAAATATCAAATGCTTAAATATTAATAAAACTCAAATGTTTAAAATCCTAGTTGAATAAAAACCCTAAGCATAAAATAAAGTTTGCTGAGTTTTATTTAATTTTTATACAATTTTCCTGCTCTCTTCTTCGAGATTTCCACCTGTTGAGTTTCATACTAATTTAACTTTATCCCATAAGGGTCGTGTTATTTTTAATAAAATGCTTTAAAGTCATTATTTTAAAACGAAATTTTGTTACAGACGAAAATGTCAATAAACATTCAAAATGTGAAAATATTGCAAACTTTGAGAGTACACACCAGCGATGTTTCAACCTGTGATTTGGCACCAAATTTTACACTAGTTACTGGATCAAGGTAAGAAATAAACAATTTGGTACATTTTTTTAAATAAATCGGTAATCGTTAGATATGAAATAAAATAAGACTGCAAACAGTTTTTTTATCACACAATAAATGGTAAATTCTCATATAACTTGTTCCGATGCTGTATCCACTTATTTTTGTGAAAACTAATTCTCGCTCAAGGTTTTTTTTAGTGTAATAAGCATGTAGCATTTCAAGGTAATGGGAACTTAAATTATGACAACCCTAATCTATTAATTTTTTCCTAAAATGCAGGCTTTATGTTGCAAATGTCACATAAGTTACCGGTCTCCAACTGCAATATCCTAACATTGATGAATATTTTAACAAAATGGCTGTTGAAACAACTAATGTTAGTGCTTGATTAACTAAAAATAGACTTAAGATTGACGAAAAATTATTTTATCCGAAATCGGCAGTAAAGTAGAACTTTACTGCCGATTTATTTTAATTTACGATTGTTGACTACTTTACTGCCGATTTCGGATAAAATAATTTTTTGTCAATCTTAAGTCTATTTTTAGTTAATCAAGCACTAACATTAGTTGTTTGAACGGCCATTTTGTTGAAATATTCATCGATGTTAGGATGTTGCAGTTGGTGACCGGTAACTTATGTGACATTTGCAACATAAAGCCTGCATTTCAGGAAAAAATTAATAGATTAGGGTTGTCATAATTTAAGTTCCCATTACCTTGAAATGCTACATGCTTATTACACTAAAAAAAACCTTGAGCGAGAATTAGTTTTCACAAAAATAAGTGGATACAGCATCGGAACAAGTTATATGAGAATTGACCAAATACATTGTTATACACGCACGGAGAGAATTTTATTTTTAGTTCCAATGAAAAATCGATCTACTTTTATTATTTTCCTAAGCAAACTTGTAAAAGACCGTCACGATTTGTCAAAGTAACAAAGTGACAAAGTAAATCGAATAAAATTGCTTATTTGTTCTATGATTGGTCAGATTATTACAAAAAAAAAAATCGAAACAATTACTTTTCGATAATTCGTCACATTCTGTCACGAGGATGGGGGTCAATTTTGACCGTTTTTTGCGTCACGAGATTTATGGACGGCCCCAGTTGGAACTTTTATTGTTTTTTCTACTCCCACCTTTAAAACGCCCATTATCGTTCATATTTCCATGACACTAAGTGACCTTTTAAATACACATTGACAAGTTGTGGCTTTATGGCGCTTTAGTCACGGGCTGAAGTTAGCCACAGGTTTTTAGTCACGGGCTGAAGTTAGTTTTAAGTTGTCAAATTTCATAAAATCGTTAAAATATAGTGCCTTTCTTGTAAAATAATACCAAAAGTGAAAATTATTTTAATATTTGAATACAAAAATACAAAAGTATTAAATAGTTTCTTGACGCAAATATTAAAAAGATTAAATGAACGTTTGTACTGACCTTTTGATTTCGCCATAGTGGTGCAGTTAACTAGATTTAACTAATAAAGTGTTAAAAATTTCGCGTACAGTGCCTATAAAACATTCTCTTCTCTTTTACTGTGAAAAACTGCTTCTGTATCAATTTTAACGCGGGTAGATTCCCAAGTTAGAACTTCTAACGGGAATTACAATAAATCACTTTTTGTACCTTTAACATTTCCCGTTTAATAATTTTTAATACTTTGTGAGAATATTTTGCAATATTAGTGATAAATAAATCAAAGGATAAAATATTTTCTCAACATCATCATATTGTAAAGTTATTTTAATATTTGAAAGTATTAATAATTTTAGAGTTTAATTAAAATAATTGCGGACAATGTTAATGGTGAAAATTACGTCAAAAATTGTGATAGTTACTTTATTTTCGTATAGATGTCGCTTCATACAAATATTTAATTTAAATTATTTTTTAGATAATATTAGTATTATATTAGAAAAAGTATAGTATTCAATTCGTTTATAAAATTTTCCAGGCGCTCGCAAGCTCACTCGTGCCTAAATTAAATTCGTGACCATCAAATGGCATTTATCAAATTTGATACATATACTATTATTTTTTCGTCCATGATAAATTTTGTTACAAAAACGTTTCAATGTGATCAATATTTTATTTTTATAGATAGAATTATTATATTCGTAATATTAAGGGCACGCAATTATTTAATCAATTTGTAGCTCATTTATGACAAATGGGTAATCGTAAATAAAAAAAATAAAAGTTATTTAAATGTTACAATACTTTTACATGCATTTTTAACAAGCAATAAAAATGAAGAGTTTTTTTTAAACTCGATGTATTTCATAATTAATATAGTAACTGTTTTACTAATTATGCCCATTTATCAACGGACAATATGATTGTAATTTTAAAAGTGGCAAAAAAATTAAATACTGAATACATTTTCAGTGATAAGACTGTTAGGATATGGGACTGGGTACCTGGTTCTGGTTACGTTCAAAGAGTAACGTCACCGTTAAGGGCGCACAAGTACCAAGTAACATGCGTAAGAATATCACCACAAGGTTCCCTGTTTGCCAGCGCGTCCGTGGATGGTACCGCTGTTCTTTGGAACCTGCATTTCTCCAAAAAACTCTTCACCATGACGCAGGTCAATGGAGATTCTATAAGAGTTTGCAGGTTCGGATTTGTTTAAAATATAGTTTTTTATAATAAAAATATGGTTTTAAGTTTTGCACCAGATAGTTCAATACTGGTCACTGCAGGAGATAATGGAGCAATATGTGTTTGGGATTTAGTTCACAAAAGCCTTATAAGGTAAGGATTTTGAATTGTCTATTTCTCTAATTTATATCAAGCAATTACAAAACGACAAAAGTAATGTGCGCTTTTTTGAAAAAATTAAAACTAAGAACAGATTCAAGTTGGGAAATAATCATATTATTCGGGCATAATAATTATTGTTCCTGAAGAAAAAATTCTGTTGAAAAATCTGAAAAAAAACTTGCTTGTTTAATTAATTGTTTAGGGAAAAAATTTTGGGTGCCTCACCTTTATAAGCCTTTATTTAAGTGAAACTTCTAAAGGAGATGGTAGATGCTGTTTATTGATTATTTTATTTATATATACAGTGTGTCCGTAAAGTCCCGGAACATGAGATTATTTTAAAAACAGTACATTTTTTTTAAAAACGCTGAAAAACGTCAACTTTGTTATTTTTCTAGCAATATTTTGGCATATGTTGTTGTAACAAATTCTGCCGCGTGGCGGCGCCACAATCAAAGTCAGTTTTTTTTTAAATTGCAACCCTTTATTTTTGTTGCATTTTTGGATAGCAACCGTTGTCCTGATTACATTGATGTGCCACATCTGGAGGGTTACATAAGAAAATTTTTGAGAAAAGCAGGTTTTTGCCACCGAATGAGATTTTGGTATTTTGTCAAACTTAAACACAATCTATGCGTTGCTTAGGAAAGCCAATCAGAGCAGTTGCTCAAAGTGTCCACCGAAAACTATTTGGCTGTGGGCCAGCCTGTCTAAAAACGAGCGTTGTACGTTCGCCAGTACCGCTGGAGTGATCATCTGGATGTCGACTTAAATGCGGTATCTTAGGTCGTCCAAATTTTAAGGCCTGTTTACATGGACGCGTTTTTAAGATGTCCCCATAAAAAAAGTCTAAAGGGTTCAAATCGGGCGATTGCGCTGGCCACTCAATTTGACCCCTTCGACCTATCCAGCGTTTGGGAAAGACCTGATTTAAATAATCCCTTAATAGCAATGCATAGTGTGGTGGTGCCCCGTAACAGCGAATAAGTTCGTCAAAACCAAAATCTCAATCGGCGGCAAAAACCTACTTTTCTCAAAAATTTTCTTATGTAACCCTCCACATGTAGCATATCAATGTACTCAGGACAACGGTAGCTATCCAAAAATGCAACAAAAATAAAGGGTTGTAATTTAAAGAAAACTTACTTCGATTGGGGCGCCGCCACACGGCAGATTTTGGAACAACTACATAGGCTAAAATATTGCTAGAAAAATAACAAAGTTGACGTGTTTCAGCGTTTTTTTTTAAATTACCGTTTTCAAAATAATCACATGTGCCGGGACTTTACGGACACACTGTATATATATATATACATATAAATAAATAAAAAAGTTTACAGTCTCAGGTTAACATAATTAGTTATTAGTGATTTTACATAAAAAATAATATAAATATGGCATATGATATTTTTTTGTATTTTATTTGAAAATATTTGAAATTTTTTATTATTGTTATTTTTGATCGCTGATATCTTTGAAACGGTTGACCTGAAGAACTTTGACCTTCAGATGTTTTTTGTAGAGCGTGAAATTGTCTATAACTCCTCTCGCTTGGGTGTTGCGAAAACAAACCATTCCAAAGTTAAAAAAATAAAAATTCCCGTGTTATTGAAATGAAAAACAACACATGAATTGAGGCAAACCTTAATATTAATATTAAGGGCACAAATAGGCGCCAAAATTTTTGTTTTTTAATGTACTATTAATTTTTCAACACCATTAGAAAAAAAATTATTGTTTTTTTTTAAACACCCTAGTATGTATGTGTGTATATAAATCAATTGATATCTTAAAGAGATGGTTCTAAGAAAAAAAAAACAATGGGACATTTTGTTTCTGATGAATTAGTACATAATACTTTCATATTTTAAATGCGCTTTGAAATAAATGTTTGCCTATTTTTTTTTTATTTTGTTTAAAATTATTTTAAAATAGTTTTAAACATAAAATAATATTATGTTTTATTATTGGTTTATTTAAATTATAATTTAGGTATACCTTATTTTTGAAATAAAACAAATTATTAAAATTAATGGCATTTCCTTTTGTTAGAATGGGCAACAAACAATATGGCGATTTTAGGATGCTTTTATTTATTGGTTTTATAAATTAACCTGGAAGTTTATTTAAACCATTTGTTTATTTTATTATGTTTAATTTAACTACTTTATTTACCTATCGGTAATTTATAACTCTTTTGTTTTGGTTTAAATTCGGTTAATGTAATAATAATAATTGACATTATATATACCTAATTATAGTTAATAATTAAGTTTTTAAGTTTTAAGATTTGTAGATAAATAATTATTTACATTGTTAACTTCTCTATAGTAAGTTTTTTTAACTTCTTTTAGGCTCTGGACATTATAACTAGGGTTGCCAGATTCTGTCAAAAAAGTACATTTTGCGAGAATTTACCTTAATTACAAAAATAATACAGTAAAACAATGCAAATTGTGAATTTAACGTTACCTAAGTATTGTTGATTGTGTCATTTTGTAGTTAAGGTAAATTGTCACAAAATGTCCTTTATTTTTTTGACAGAATCTGGCAACCCTAATTATAATAGAAAACTCACAACCTATAGGTTTATATTTAAAGCTGTTTTGAGACTAATTTTTCTATGCAGGTAACAATTAAAACATATTTTAAATAATTTGATAGTATATTTTACGGCGGCCATGGACGCTTTAATTTGTCAAAAATTTTAGATGGCACTTGAGAGCTGTCAAAAATGGCAGTACTTTTTAAGAATTTTGAAAATAAGGTAATTTTTAAAAATTTGGAAACAAAAATTTGAAATTGTGTTAAATTTTTTTGTTGTATTTTAAAGAAAAATATTTTTTTATTTGTGTTTCTGACTTAAATTAAATTAATTAAATTGTTGGATATTTAATCATTAATATTTAAACCCTCAAAATTAGCTAGTCTAGACAAATAATTAATCAATAAAACCAATTAAGCTTTCTCACAAAAATACCCACATGGTGATCTATAATATTTTCTTAAAAAGTATAATATTTTCAATTAAAATAGAATATTAAAATGTTTGGGTGCATTGAACCATACTAAAATAATTGAATGAACAGAAACAATAATTTAAAATTAAACTTTAACACACAGATTCATAAAGTTTTATTGTAGAACAATGACACCCTTTCAAAACCGAGTTGCGAAACTTATATTGCGCTATATCTACAAGGATAATGGAATAAGAAGGGGTATGAAAGAGCCGGTTCCCCTTTGCCAGACAATATTCGAGATAAATGGTTTTGCCTAAAGCTAAATCATCGATTTAGTTTTCTTTACTGCAGTCGCATACACGAAATAAACGTCCCTCAAATAGCTTTATTCCTCTTTTGACTTTAAAATTTACTCAGCCAGTGTTTTATTATGTTAAATAAAACAGACTTAATAATTAATATTCAATTTTATAAATTATCATTTAATGTTGTCTTAGGTAAAGTAAATATCTTGCCTATGAATATATAATAATATTATTCGTATATTTTAATTTAATATGATGTAAGTTAATAGAAATATTATTTATTTATCCTAATACACAGTAAAAAATATTTGTTAATTTTAACCAAATATTAAACAGATTTTATGTTAATCCAGGTTCACATAACTTTTTATTAAGTTTACAACCAACTGTAATCTGTTAACTAATTAAATAAATAGTTTGTAATTATAATCCTATGTCAATAATTTAACCATAATTCTTGTAATTTTTAAAAAGGACCTTATTTTTACAAACCTTTTTGTAGAACCAGTAACAAAAGTATTTGTTGGAAATTGAAAACTCAAATGAGAAGAATTTTGATAAGAAATTTGCTTTATTAATCAATTTCCTAAACAAAAAACACTACCTACATAAATAAACACAAAATACACAATTAAATAACACAGTTAAATAAAATGCTTACAAAATTAAATATTACCTTTACAAAACTTTCGGTAAAATATTTTCCTTTCTTAAAATAATTACAAACCCTCGTTTTATACAAAAAATTATGTTAAAATTTTACAAAATAAAATAAACAAACTACAAACTCGTGTTAACAAATTTGATTTTTATAACAGTGTATGTATTAAAAACAGAACTTTTCGGGAAATTTAGTTGAAAATAAAAAAATGACCCTGGCGCATTCGCCATTTTTGGCATTAAAAGGCATAACTTACACTTACACAAGTTATAACTTATAACTTATAAGTACAGGGTGGTAAAAAATATTAAAACCTGTTTAATAAAATAACAAATACGTATACAGGGTGATTCTGAATTGAAGTAAAAAATGGGTGATTCTCCACAGAATTTGTTGACGAAAAGTTCATATGGATGTTAGGACTAAGTATCTTAGTTTAGGTGTTAAAAATGCAAAGAAAGAAGGGGGCTAGCAAAATCTTACCCAATCTCATTTTAATGGAGGGGGCCATTAAAAATCTCACGTCAACTTTTGAGTTTAAAGAATGTGTTATAATTCAATTTTAAAATAAATTAATCATTTTTTTTTTACTTTTCTGTGGTTTATCATGTTGTACGTAATGAAAGTTTTATGGCTAGAATCTCACGTGAGGTATAGGAGGGCTACCACAAGGTGAAGGGGGGGTCCAAATTATCAGAAAAATACTTCACGTAATTAATGGACGTCCCCTAGGTATTAAAAGCAGTTGGCTTAGAAATTTTGACAATCAGATCAGAGAAGTGAAACATTTATTTCAATAATAATTATTGTGAATAATTAAAAATTTAAATTTTCTTTTCATTTTCAACGCCGTGTATCTCGAAATCTAAGATACTTAGCCCTAACATCCATTTGAACTTTTCTTCACGAAATCTTGTTAAGATTTGGGATCACCCTGTATAAACAAAATCATTAACTTTAATGGAATTTAATATATTTTTTCCACTCCCACCTTTAAAACGCCCTTTATCGTACATGTTTCCATGACACTAAGTGACCTTTTAAATACACATTGACAAGTTGTGGCTTGATGGCGCTTTAGTCACGGGCTGAAGTTAGCAACAGGTTTTTAGTCACGGGCTGAAGTTAGTTTTAAGTTAGTTGACAGTTGTCAAATGTCATACAATCGTTAAAATAAAGTGCCTTTCTTGTAAAATAATACTAAATGTGAAAATTATTTTATTATCTCAATGCAAAAATACAAAATACAAATAGTTTCTCAACGCCAATATTTGAAAAGTTTATATGAACATTGTACTGACCTTTTAATTTCGCCGGCAGTAAACTATATATAGTTATAACTTAAATTCGGGCACGGACTCCACTGTAAAGTCCTTATAAAACATTTTCTTTACTTTCACTGTAAAAAACTGTCAATTTTCAAGAAATACATATCGATTTATAACCTTTATAATCTGTGTTTATAAAATATAAAAATGTGACATTTGACGGTGACACACAGATTCCCCTATTGTTTCATAGATGGCGCTCTATACAAATTTTTGATTTAAATCATTTTAAGATAATAATAATAATAATAATTGTCGTAGAAAAAGTATAGTATTCACCTCGTTTATAAGCTTTTCTATACACTCATTAAATTAAATTCGTGTTTAAAATGGCGTTTATCAAACTTGATACATAATATACTATTTTTTAGTATGATCTTTTTATTTAACCAACTCCTATTTTGGTATTAATAGCTATTTAGCTGTAGTTATTTATGTCATTAGGCCATAAGTTTGTAAAAGTAGAGTAGTGAGGTTAGATCGGTCTGACAGAAGTCGATTTTATTATTGGTTCAAAGTTTTACATAATAAATTTTTACGACCTAGGTCACGCGATTGATGTAAATCATTTTTAAGTGCCTAGGCTATAATCAATGGTAACGAGTGTGGGCATTAATAAAGTTTAAATTATAGACTGATTAAAGATAAAAGACTTTCTGGGCCGAATGGCATACAACATTTTATATTCAAGGCACTTGTTAACAGATTGTTTCGAAATTCCAAATTTTTTGGGGTAAATTGACAGCGAAAAATATGAAAGAAGTCCCTACGAACATACATTTTTACCCCAAATATATGCATGGGGTAAAAATGCTTTGAATATAATCTTATAAAGGAAAATGTTTATAATTTTAATATTAATAATCTTAAATTTGCTTTTTATTTATGTAGAACACTTATTCAACACGAAGGTACTACCCAGTCGTTAGCATTTACACCAGACTCTCAGTACTTAGTAAGCGCCTGCACCCTGCAGGTGGTACGAGTATGGTACGTCCAAGACCTGGTGGACACCACCAATGACACCAATTGTACATCTGTTGCTAAACTGGACAACGCCCTCGACATGGGAGTTTTCTGTATTGATGTGTCCAAACACGTCAAAATAGATGGTACCAAACCCCCATTTTATGCTATTCTTATTTACTAAAAAACAGCGTTTTTTTAGAAAATAGTCCTTTAATAAAACACTACAAACTGGCAATCTGTGGCAACAGCAACGAAATCAAAATTTGGACCATCACATCGAAATCCTTTTCAAAAACAAAACTCTCGACAGCGAACGAAGTAAGCTTAGATTACTACGACACCTACGATGGTCACAGTTCCTCTGTGACTTGTATAAAATATAGCAATAACGGCGCCTACTTGATATCGTCCAGTTTGGATAAGTTGGTGAAAATATGGAATGCGGAGGATGGAAGATGTATGGCAACTTTGCAAGGACATTCCAGATACGTTAATTGCACTGCTATTTCGAAGGATTCATCATTAATAGTATCTGGTATGTTATTATTATTATTATTATTATTATTATTATTAGTATTATTATTATTATTTGTATTATTAATAATAATTATTAATACAGGAAAAGGTGTACTATTTTAGTTTAAACCAAATATTATTATTTAAATCAATATATCAATTATTATTTAAAATATAATGTTTAGGTGTCACCCTTCTGGTTTGAAAAATTCATGCAAAAATAGTTTTAAAACTTAAACGCAATTGATAACAATTACAGTGCATATCTTCATAATTATAAAAACAAAATACCAATAATAAAGATAATATGTATATCTGGCATGCAAAATGCCTGAGGCTGTTTATAAATTGTTTGATTATAATAAGTGGAGCGCGGAGAAAGCGTTTAAAATAGACTGCGTTAGAAATGAGCATGATCTCCGATAGCCGTGATCGTCTAGTGGTTAGGACCCTACGTTGTGGCCGTAGTAACCCAGGTTCGAATCCTGGTCACGGCAATGCGAAAGCATTGTCACGGGGAGACAATTTTTTATGAAAAATAATTAAGATTTATCACACGACAATTTTTAACTAAACAGTTTGACCATGATCCCAGATAGCCGTGATGGTCTCGTACAGTGGTTCCCAACCTTTCTTTGATCAGGAACCACTAGGATTTTCTTCTTTGTTAGGAGCAGGGACCCCAACGTTCAAAATGAACAATCCAAGAATTAAAAAATAAATTTTAATTATAAATTTAACTTAACATTAACATTATAATAGAGAACCTTTAATCTTAAACCAATGTGATATTTGAGCTTGCATCGTTTTTACAAGTTCAGCAATTTTGGGGCTAACATAGTTGGTCAGAACAACACGATTATCATTACTTGATTCCAATCGATTTCTGGTCTTCAAGTGAAACTGATTTGCATTCTTACAGTGCCTATTATTTTAAAATTTGGAATTGATTGAGCTCTTTCGGGACTTCTGCAACCTTTTCAACAGCAATAACAAGGCCCAGTCATTATAGTATTTCAATAAAAAAAAAATTAATAACTTGTAGACAGGTACCTAAATTTCGACGCGGTTTCGTAAAACCCTTTCAGGGTAACAAGTGCAAAATTGTAACAAATTTGGTGGTTTCTTCCTGCGCCATCTTTGTTTCAAGGGGTGATTTTGATTCTGTCAAATCACCTACAATTTATATCCCATAAACGTTAACAAATTATTACTTTTTAAATTTTAATTGAGGGGTCATTCGAGTATTTTTTGTACGTAACGCATTTTTTGTCTCTTTTAGACCCCCCTTTCCCCCTCGTAACATACCCCCTTTTTGTTAATTTTGCTAGAAAATTTTAATATAATGTATGATTTTGTTGTTTTGATAGTGTAAATAATTAATTATGCTGTTGTTTTCCGGTTTTTATTTGAGCCTTCAGCTGCCGTGATTTTTTTGTTGGTAAATTAAAGAATAAATTGCGTTACGTAAATAAGAAATTAAATGTTAACGTTGTATTGGAAAATTGTGTCCTGAAAAATTTAACAAAGTGGAGATTGCTGGTTTCGCTTCTATACCCCTCAAATGTATTGTGGTTTTTAAGTTTAATACGGTAAAATACCTTAAAAAATATAGTGGCTTCGAATGTACATTTTGGCTGATGATGATAACTTGATTTATAATAATCCAAATGTTTATAAATTGCATGATTATAAGTGGAGCGCGGAGAAAGCGTTTAAAATAGACTGCGTTAGAAATGAGCATGATCTCCGATAGCCGTGATCGTCTAGTGGTTAGGACCCTACGTTGTGGCCGTAGTAACCCAGGTTCGAATCCTGGTCACGGCAATGCGAAAGCATTGTCACGGGGAGACAATTTTTTATGACAAATACTTAAGATTTATCACACGACAATTTTTAACCAAACAGTTTGACCATGATCTCAGATAACCGTGATGGTCTCGTACAGTGGTTTCCAAACTTTCTTTGATCAGGAACCACTAGGATTTTCTTCTTTGTTAGGTGCAGGGGCCCTAACGTTTAAAATAAATAATCCGAGAAATAAAAAATAAATTTTAATTATAAATTTTAGTTAACATTAAACTTATAATAGAGAACCTTTAATCTAAAACCAATGTGATATTTGAGCTTGCATCGTTTTAACAAGTTGAGCAATTTTGGGGCTAACACAGTTGCTCAGACAAACGCGAATATCATTACTTGATTCCAATCGATTTCTGGTCTTCAAGAGAAACTGATTTGCATTCTTACAGTGCCTATTATTTTAAAATTTGGAATTGATTGAGCTCTTTCGGGACTTCTGCAACTTCTTTAACATCAATAACAAGGCCCAGTTATTATAGTATTTCAATTAAAAAAAAATTAATAACTTGTTAACAGGTACCTAAATTTCGACGCGGTTTCGTAAAACCCTTTCAGGATAACAAGTGCAAAATTGTAACAAATTGGGTGGTTGCTTTCTGCGCCGTCTTTGTTTCAAGGTGTAATTTTGATTCTGCCAAATCACCTACAATTTATGTCCCATAAACGTTAACAATTTATTACTTTTTAAATTTTAATTGACAGGTCATTCAAGTATTTTTTGTACGTAACGCATTTTTTGTCTCTTTTAGACCCCCCTTTCCCCCTCGTAATATACCCCCTTTTTGTTAATTTTGCTAGAAAATTTTAATATAATGTATGATTTTATTGTTTTAATAGTGTAAATAATTAATTATGCTGTAGTTTTTCGGTTTTTATTTGAGCCTTCAGCTGCCTTAATTTTTTTGTTGGTAAATTAAAGAATAAATTGCTTTACGTAACACATGAGAAAACCCCCTCCCCCCACAGTAACAAACCGTAACGTTATATAATTTTGATGTCAAAAAAAAAGTAAACGTAAATAAGAAATTAAATGTTAACGTTGCATTGGAAAATTGTGTGTCCTGAAAAATTTAACAAAGTGGGGATTGCTGGTTTCGCTTCTATACACCTCAAATGTATTGTGGTTTTTAAGTTTAGTATGGAAAAATACCTTAGGAAAAAATATTGGCATCGATGATAACTTGATTTAACGCTGTTTACTTAGGAATGCACCTTGTATAATACATTTCAAGGTTCCACAGGTTCAAACGACAAAATGTTGATAATCTGGAACATCAACGGGACTTTAACCACAGATTCTGAATTATTTCATCAAGAAATATCGGTAAGCAACCTGATTGGGCAACCTCAAGAGCTACAAATGGTGCAGTTTTCTGAAACCGGCGATAACGAGGCCAAATTAATCGAAAAAATCGATGACATTGCTGATGGGGCCATTAACAGCTGCTGCTTTTTCGGCAATGATGTTCTGGCTACAGGCTCTGGGTAAGAAAATAAATTTTTGGGTTTAAAATGTTTTCACGCAGTTTTTTATTTTTTTTATTTTAAATTTCTTGGACCTTATACAGGCTTTATAGACCAGTGCAGAAGCAGTGGAAAAATAAATTACGGGCGATCTGAGTTCGGGAAGTGGGAGGGGGGTTTTAAGGGTAAAAAATGGTATATCTCGATTTCCGACAAAACTACAAGTCCTATGGAAAAAAATTAAATGTCAAAGTTGTAGGTAATAAAAAGATCTACAACTTTTGTATTTACAATTTTTTCACATAACCTCAAAATTTATGTGAAAATTTCAAAAAACCAAGTTTTTGGTTTTTTATTTTATTTCTTTTTCAAAAAAATTTTTTTTCCACGAAATTTGGTGAAAACTTACCTTTTTATGTCCCAAATACACTGTAATTTATTTGATTTGAAATATTTATTATTTCGCCTTATTTTGACTTAATATCAAAAAAGCACCCTAATTTTCAATCGAAAATTCTCGCGTCAAAATATCAGCTTTTTTCAAAAAGTCGGTGTGCTTTTTGTTTGATGAACTCTCTACTTTCTGATGGTGTAAAAAAAAATATACAAATGTATATTTTTTTTTACACCATCAGAAAGTAGAGAGTTCATCAAACAAAAAGCACACCGACTTTTTGAAAAAAGCTGATACTATGGTAAATGTTCTCAGAAAATACAAAAAATATTATAATGAATAACGTAATCAGAATGAAGTATCTAAATTCAATAGTATGATTTACATGTATTTTTATATTTTATGAGATTTTCTGACATAAATGTTATTAGAATTTAATAAATAAACTTTTTAACTAAAAAAAATTGTAACAATCACATTTTTTTGATGAAATTGTACATAATGATTAGAATAAATTTTCGAATTCGAGTTTTTTTCGTTATTCATTATAATATTTTTTGCATTTTCTGAGAACATTTATCATAGTAATGTATATTTTTTTTACACCATCAACGAACAAAAAGCACACCGACTTTTTGAAAAAAGCTGATATTTTGACGCGAGAATTTTCGATTGAAAATTAGGGTGCTTTTTTGATATTAAGTCAAAATAAGGCGAAATAATAAATATTTCAAATCAAATAAATTACAGTGTATTTGGGACATAAAAAGGTAAGTTTTCACCAAATTTCGTGGAAAAAAAATTTTTTTTTTAAAAAGATAAAAACAAAAAACCAAAAACTTGGTTTTTTGAATTTTTCACATAAATTTTGAGGTTATGTAAAAAAATTGTAATTACAAAAGTTGTAGATCCTTTTATTACCTACAACTTTGCCATTTAACTTTTTTCCATAGGACTTGTAGTTTTGCCGGAAATCCAGATAAACCATTTTTTACCCTTAAACCCCCCCCTCCCACTTCCCGAAGTCAGATCGCCCGTAATTTATTTTTCCTTTCATTTTTATTATATTCTTCTCCTTTTCCAATGGGTTTCATCCTACTGTTTTTTTTTTGGTTTCAAAAATTATCGACCCTGGTCTATTAATTTCAGAGATAAACTTGTAAAACTATTCAATGTGGTCGAAGAAAACAACAACATAGAAGAAGTGAGCTGGTCGCCACTAGAAGGTCACACTTATGCCATTAATCATGTAGAATTCTCCAAAGATGGTAACATGTTGGCTTCTTGTTCTTTGGACGGCTGTACAACATTATGGAATCCAGCGGTAAAAACTTTGAATAACAAATTAAATTAAATGAATTATCACGCATTTTCAGACGGGCGAAAAAATCATATCTGTGCCTATAAACAGCATGTCTGTTAAGGTGTGCAGATTTTCACCTGACTGCCAATTACTGATCACTGCAGGGGATGATGATAAAGCTACTGTATGGAACTCGGAAACTATGGAGGAAATATCGTAAGAAATTATATTTTCCTTAACTTTAGTTAAGAAACTAAAACCTATTTAAAGAGCTCTACTATTTATAACACTATAGCAAAAAACAACTCTCATGAGTTGTTTTATTTTTTATTCAGGAATTATTCTTATTATTATTATTATTAGATAAAAAATATCATATAAGAATTTTTATTCTGTGAATTAAAAATATAATGGTAAATATAAAAAAATTAAATTTAACTTTTATTCCAAACTGATATTTTTAATGTAATGAAATATTTGCTTCTTATATTTGTAGTTTTTGTTAAACACATCTTATTATTAAGCAAAATAATCAAAAAGAGGTAATTTTTACCGACTTTGAAGCGGTGTATCTTCGTTATTATTCGTTTGATTTGTACAAAATTTACGAAAAACCCTCGAATACGTAATACGTAATACAAGATATAAGTTGAAGATATAAGTTGAAGTATTTTTATACAAAATTTCATAAAGATTTACTTATTATGCGTTAATTTTGACGCGCATTGTATCTGCATTTTTTTTTTAAATAAAACATAAATCGAATTAAAAATTTCTCATATGATATTTTATATTAACTAAAAAATACAAATACAAGAAACAGATATTTTAAATTCACTAAATTAAAAATATTTGTTTGGCATAAAAATTAATTTTTAATTACGAAAATTAAAATATGCGTTTAAAAAAAAAAAACAATTAAAAGAAGTAAATATTTTAAATTAAATATATTAAAAATATTAGTTTGGCATAAAAATTAGGTCTAATTTTTGTTCTAAATACCCATACCAATATCCTGTTTTTAAGAAGATACAAAAATTAATATCTTTAATATTAAATTGTTAGTTGTTCATGCAATTTAAATTAATATTTTAATGTAAAATGGTTAGACATTGCCCATTAAAAGAAAAAACGGAGGCTATTTTTATTTATGGTAAAATGGGTCGAAATTTGCACGAAACAGAAAGGGTGTTTAATGAAAGGTACGGTACCTTAGGTACCCAGAAAACCCAATTTGCAGGAAATATCTAACAATTTCAAACAAGTGGAAGTGTGGGTAGGCAGAAAGGATCGGGAAGGAAATCAATTTCCGAAGAAAAACAGGTGCAAATAGTTGGTCGGTTGACAATTGTCAATATTCCACAACAATCGACGGCCGCAGTTGCAGAGACTTAAGTCACAATTGTGTTGTATCTCAAACAACTGTTAGGAAATATGTAAAGAAGAACAAATTTTATCCCTACAAGCTTCAAATACTCCACCAACTAACTGAAGATGACCCTGATCACCGAACAGAGCTGCAACAAGTCAGTTTTAAAAAGACTTAAATCTTAAGTCTTAATTCAATTCTAAAATCAAAATGATTTAAATCTTAAGTCAATTCTAAGATAAAGTTCAAATGATTTAAGTATTAAGTCTTTGAATTAAGTCATTTTCGCAAATTCTTAAATCAATATAAAGCAATTTAAGTCATCTTATGACTTAATTCCTTTAGTAAGTCGTTTTTATGACTTAAGTCTATATTTTTTATTTAAATCGTGATCTAAGAGTTAAGTCAATAAAATGACTTGAATCAAAAATTGTGATTTAAATCAAAATAATTACCCTTAAGTCAATACAACGATTTTAACATAACTACGCACGAACATGACGAATGTTAGCAAACAAAATAACAAAATTATAAATCCCCACTTTTTTTTATTCATTTTAGACAGGACATTTTTTAATGTAGCCGTCAAACGGTTCCAAAAAGCTAACTTTACCGCGGCGGTTTTTTTATCAACTAGCGGTAGCAATTGTAGGTAGGAAATTAAAGGAGTTTTTGATCTGCTGCCGCGTGAACCCCTGGCAGTTCAAAAGAAAATGCCGCTGTTAAAAATTTATAAAAAAAATATATGAAAAATTTGACTTAAATATTTTCTAAAAAGACTTAAATCTTTTTCAAAAAGGCTTAAATCTTTTTTTGACTTAAATCGTTTTTATCTGACTTAAATCGTATGTACTGATTTAAGCCTTTTATAAATGACTTAAGTTTTTTCTATTTTGAAAAAAATATTTAAGTCACAAATCATTTTGAAAATTACTTAAATTTTAAGTCTTAAGTCAGTTTTAGAGAAATGACTTATTACCAAATGACTTAAGTCATTAAAACGATTTAAATAAAAAAAAACGATTTAAGTTTTCTGAGAGCTTGCAGCTCTGTCACCGAATGCAATTTTGTGAACTTATGTGTGAGCGCATAGCACAAAATCCATTTGAAATTTTCAAGTTGATAATGCCCTCTTGGCACTTGTTAGGAAAAAAAATTCATTTTGACGTCAAAAAGTAGTAAACACAATATAGTTTACCCTGGTTTTTGTCCGACATCGATATCTTATTTGGTTCAAAAGTTCACAGGGGGGGATTTTAACGCGCTCACTGTATGTATGTATAAATAAAAAATATCACATGAATATGTTTAATCTGCGAATTAAAAATATCATAGAAGATTTAAAAAAAAATAGATTTAATTTTTATGCCGACCTGATATTTTTAATTTAGTGAATTTAAAATATCTGTTTCTTATTTTTGTATTTTTTGTTAAACTCATATTTTTAATTCGCTAAATTAAAAATATAATAGGAGAAATTTTTAAATGTATTAAAAATATAGTAGGAGATATTTTTAATTCAATTTAATTTTTAACAGGGGTATCCAAACTGTTAATCAGTCGGAATTAAAAATATCACATTCAATTAAATATATCTGCATCTTAAAAAAAAAAAATTAAATCAAATTAAAAGTGTCTCCTATTTTTAATTCATTTAAAAATTTCTCCTATGATATTCTTAAGTTAGCGAATTAAAAATATGTGTTTAACTAAAAAATACAAATGCAAGAAGAATATATTTTAAAGTTACTAAATTAAAAATATCTCCTATGATATTTAGCGAATTAAAAATATCTGTTTAACAAAAAAATGTCAACACTCTAAAATAAAACAGCGCCCCATCATGGCGCCCCCATGCATGAGCTTTTGGATCAAAACAGACAAAACTTGAATACCCACACTGTTATCTTTAGGACTCTTGATGGCCATTTGGATGCCGTAACGTCTGCAGCATTTTCCCCGGACGGTTGCGTTATAGCAACCATGTCTATCAACGCCGACTTTAGAGTTTGGTCGGTGTGCGATTTTAAATGTTTGCACGTCCAAGAGGATGCTCACGATTTCGGTATACAGAGCTGCGATTTTTCCGATAACTTGGAACCAATTCCAATGAACTTGGTGGACGTGCAATCCTATTTGTTAGCCACTTGCGGAAATGATAGCCTGGTAAAGTTGTGGCGAATATCAATACCAAAAGTGAGAGCTATAAATTTATCAAAGTAAATGTTTAGATTTAAAATTATTATAATTTTTAGCAAAATAATAAGTTGCATTATGAAGATATCGAAGTAAAGGTTTGGCGTACGTTCATGGGGCATGGTGGTAATGTCATATGTGTTAGATTTTCACCTAATGTGGGTGAAATAGTTGGTTCTACCGCTACAGGTTAGTATTTTTTTATAGTTGGTAGTCGATAAGACAATATTTTTTATAGATCGCCAGGCTAGAATATGGTCTGTATACAGTACCGAGTGTCTACATGTTTTGGACCACGATTCAATAGTAGTAACATGCGCTTTTAACGGGGACTGTTCACTTTTGGCAGTTGGATGTCTAGATAAAACTTTATGGCTCTGGAAATTACCCCAACAATTGGTAATACAACCTTTTTAAAAGTTTTACTTCCACCAATTTTGTAAACTATTTTTCTAATTGGATAAGTACCTACTCAAATGAATATTTAAAAAATAATTTTTGAGGCCTTTTTGTTCCAAATTTTCTTATAACAGTGTTCCTACCAAAAATATAATTTCAATTTCCATAAATTCCATGACCAGTAAATATTTTTTCCATGACCAATTGATTGTTAAAGATTTTTTTTTATTGAAATAAACAAAATAAAAATTCTAATAAAAACAAAAACACAGCATAAAACAGTCACTGCTAAATCTTATTTATAAGTTTTGTTTCAAAAGTTTGATTTATGTTTCAATTCCGTTTTCTTCATTAGATCCAATTTAAGTTTTTTAAGTTCCAACTCCTTTATTTCCATAAATAAGTAGTAAAAATATTATTTGTAACAATTGTTTAAACGTCAAGACTTTAGTGAAAATCATGACTTTTGGTCATTTTTAACCAAAATCCATGACTTCCATGCTTAAAATTTGTATCCATGACTTCCAGGATTTCCAGGTTTAGTTGGAACCCTGTATAACATAGGTTTACAAATCTCTATGAGGGGCGTACAGAAAAAAAATTGAAAGGGGGTTTTCAAGACATTTAATTTTTGCATAATTTTAAGAATTTTTTAATTAAACAAATTATATAGTTTGAACGTGCTTAAGTGCGTTTTGGTTTAGATCTGGCGTATCTAGGGATTGCAATCAAGCAGGGTTTTTAATCTTTTGGCTTGATCAACAACAATCCAGCTGGATTTTTTTAAATACTTGGAAAACTACCAATTTATAGTAGGTAAATAAAAAATTAATGAAATAAAATTTTTATTCGACAACAATTAAATCAATGAATTTAATTTATTGATATTGATAACTAAAATTGTTCATTAACTTTTTTTTTATTTAAAACATTAATTTTACCAATTTTTAAACTGCTTAAAGTGTATACAAATTCAACGAGGACTAAATGTAAACACAGAGTCACACCCTCAGAATCGACCAATAAGAACGAGTTATCACGCGTCTGGGCGTTTTTGTTTGGTTCGGCTTGGATTTGAATACACTGTAGGTACCTATTACCTGAGAACTCCTGTTTCGTCTCGTTGGGCCACCATATATACATATACATATTCTTTTTTTTAAGGTGTTTCAAACTGCAGTAGCCAACAAATTAAAATGCAGAACCAAGGCTATTATAGACTGGACTTCAAATGACGTAGTAAAATGGTTAAAAGACATAGACATGGAAGATATTATTGTGAATGCTCGAAATAGTGCGCTAGACGGTATAAAATTAGTCAGTCTTTCAATGGAAAATATTTGCTCTGGAATGGGACTAGGTACTATGCTCCACGTCAAAAAGTCCCACCTTGACATTTGAATACAAATAATTTGGGTTATCTAACTGTCAGTTTGACGCTAATTCCGTCTTGTTTTCTGAAAATAATACAATTCATGTTTTTTTGTTTTAATACTTACCTAAAAAAATAAATTAATTTACCAAGCTGAATTGTTAAAAGTACCTTCAGGATAGTAAAAAATTAAGAAAAAACCTCGTTTGAATTTTTTTTTAATTATGAGTTTTCCCCCTCTTTTAGGATTTGTTCTAAATTTTTTTTAAACAAATCCAAATTTTTTGGAGTACCTTCAGGATAATAAAAAAGTAATAAAAAACCGCGTTTGAAATATTTTTTTAATTATGAATTTTTCACTTTTTTAGGATTTGTTCTAAATTTTTTAAAAAGTGGTCGGGGTTTAAATTAAAAAATAATTTTCAAATCTGAATTTGTCAGGATAGTAAAAAAGTACAAAAAAAGTTTGTTTGAATTTTTTTTTAAATTATGAGTTTTTCCCACTTTTTTAGGATTTCTTCTAATTTTTTTATTATTATAAGTGGTCGGAGCTCAGGTTAAAAATTAATTGAAAAATCTGAATTTTTGGGAGTACCTTAAGGATAATTTTTTTATTATTAGCACATCTTTGTTTCAAATAATAAACATTAATTAAAATAAATTTTGTTTATTTTTTGGAAGGGCAAAGAGGGGCATGTTGTAACCTGGTTTTTCATTTTAGAAAGTTGGTCCCCTTACATAGACTCAATTAATTGTATATAAATGTCAAAGTGGGACTTTTGATATGGAGCATAGTCCATATAAACAAAACATTTAAAAAACACCTAATTCAATTTTTAGACGAAAATCAAACATCAAAAATGCTCAAAGAAATAAAATGGCTGCGCAAAGCGGAACTCCACATAGAAAAACCGGAAAACACGGATATTCCGCACGAGTTTTTGTGCCCCATTACTCATGAGATCATGAGGGAGCCAGTGTCTTGTAGCGACGGTTACACGTATGAAAAAAATGCGATCGCCGAATGGTTTATTTCGGGTAAATTCACCAGCCCCATGACCAACGAAAAATTAACCAATACGAATTACGCGTTCAATTTGGAATTGAGGAACGCGATTTATTCGTTCTTGGATAGCGAAGATCAGCAGGAAGAATAATAGAAGTTTAACATTTTTTGCACCATTTTTTATTTTATATACTGTTCGAAAAAAACTTTACATTTAAGATTGTTAAAATGAAATACACTCACAGGCAAAATATTCGATCCACACATATTTTCGATGAATTTCAATCGCAAATAACTTTTTTATTTGATTTCGGATTTAAACAAATATTGAAGAATATTGTAGATACATTAATGGAGAATCGCTCACATTTTAAAAATTACTAAAAAATACACGTACGTTTATAATATACAGGTTTAAACAAAAAGATGTTTTTTTACCATAAGTTTAAGACACTCTGTAGAGTGCCCTGCTGAAAAAGCCGGGTGATTGCGGACGTAAATTTCGATTGAAATATGCGTCAAAACCGGGTGATTGCGGGTGAAAATCTTATCCGCCCATACCCGCAAACGCCTGCTTTACTTTATCCGCGAACGCCCGGTTATACCTGTCTTTCGTCCGGTTAGTGCACCCCCGCAATCATCTGCAATCACCCGCAAACGCCGGCATTTAGTTTGATCTACTTTCGCCCGGTTTCATCTGCAAACGTCGGCTTTCGTCTGCGAACGCCTCCTTTCACCTGCGTACGCCTGCTTTTACCCGCGAACGCCTGATTTCATCTGCGAACGTCTGCTTTCATACTTTTTCACCCGCAAACGTCTGCTTTCACCTGCGAACGCCCGGTTATACCTGTCTTTCGCCCGGTTAGTGCAACCCCGCAATCATCTGCAATCACCCGCGATCGCCGGCATTTAGTTTGATCTACTTTCGCCCGGTTTCATCCGCAAACGTCGGCTTTCGTCTGCGAACGCCTGCTTTCATCTGCGTACGTCTGTTTTTACCCGCAAACGTCTGCTTTTGCCTGTTTTCACCCGCAAACGTCTACTTTTACCTGCAAACGCCTGCTTTCACCCGCAAACGTCTGCTTTACCCGCGAACGCCTGATTTCATACTTTTTCACCCGCAAACGTCTGCTTTCACCTGCGAACGCCCGGTTATACCTGTCTTTCGCCCGGTTAGTGCAACCCCGCAATCATCTGCAATCACCCGCGATCGCCAGCATTTAGTTTTATCTACTTTCGCCCGGTTTCATCCGCAAACGTCGGCTTTCGTCTGCGAACGCCTGCTTTCACCCGCAAACGTCTGCTTTTACCCGCGAACGCCTGATTTCATCTGCGAACGTCTGATTTCATACTTTTTCACCCGCAAACGTCTGCTTTCACCTGCGAACGCCCGGTTATACCTGTCTTTCGCCCGGTTAGTGCAACCCCGCAATCATCTGCAATCACCCGCGATCGCCAGCATTTAGTTTTATCTACTTTCGCCCGGTTTCATCCGCAAACGTCGACTTTCGTCTGCGAACGCCTGCTTTCACCCGCAAACGTCTGCTTTTACCCGCGAACGCCTGATTTCATCTGCGAACGTCTGATTTCATACTTTTTCACCCGCAAACGTCTGCTTTCACCTGCGAACGCCCGGTTATACCTGTCTTTCGCCCGGTTAGTGCAACCCCGCAATCATCTGCAATCACCCGCGATCGCCAGCATTTAGTTTTATCTACTTTCGCCCGGTTTCATCCGCAAACGTCGGCTTTCGTCTGCGAACGCCTGCTTTCATCTGCGTACGTCTGTTTTTACCCGCAAACGTCTGCTTTTGCCTGTTTTCACCCGCAAACGTCTACTTTTACCTGCAAACGCCTGCTTTCACCCGCAAACGTCTGCTTTTACCTGCAAACGCCTGCTTTCACCCGCAAACGTCTGCTTTTACCCGCGAACGCCTGATTTCATACTTTTTCACCCGCAAACGTCTGCTTTCACCTGCGAACGCCCTGTTATACCTGTCTTTCGCCCGGTTGGTGCAACCTCGCAATCATCTGCAATCACCCGCGATCGCCGGCATTTAGTTTTATCTACTTTCGCCCGGTTTCATCCGCAAACGTCGGCTTTCGTCTGCGAACGCTTTTACCCGCAAACGTCTGCTGTCACCTGCGAACGCCCGGTTATACCTGTCTTTCGCCCGGTTAGTGCAACCTCGCAATCATCTGAAATCACCCGCGATCGCCGGCATTTAGTTTTATCTACTTTCGCCCGGTTTCATCCGCAAACGTCTCCTTTCGTCTGCGAACTCCTGCTTTCATCTGCGTACGTCTGTTTTTTACCGCAAACGTCTGCTTTTGCCTGTTTTCACCCGCAAACGTCTACTTTTACCTGCAAACGCCTGCTTTCACCCGCAAACGTCTGCTTTTACCCGCGAACGCCTGATTTCATACTTTTTCACCCGCAAACGTCTGCTTTTACCTGCGAACGCCCGGTTATACCTGTCTTTCGCCCGGTTGGTGCAACCTCGCAATCATCTGCAATCACCCGCGATCGCCGGCATTTAGTTTTATCTACTTTCGCCCGGTTTCATCCGCAAACGTCGGCTTTCGTCTGCGAACGCCTGCTTTCACCTGCGTACGTCTGTTTTTACCCGCAAACGTCTGCTTTTGCCTGTTTTCACCCGCAAACGTCTACTTTTACCTGCAAACGCCTGCTTTCACCCGCAAACGTCTGCTTTTACCCGCGAACGCCTGATTTCATACTTTTTCACCCGCAAACGTCTGCTTTTACCTGCGAACGCCCGGTTATACCTGTCTTTCGCCCGATTAGTGCAACCTCGCAATCATCTGCAATCACCCGCGATCGCCGGCATTTAGTTTGATCTACTTTGGCCCGGTTTCATCCGCAAACGTCTCCTTTCGTCTGCTAACGCCTGCGTACGTCTATTTTTACCCGCAAACGTCTGTTTTTGCTCGTTTTCAACCGCAAACGTCTGCTTTCGTCCGATTTTATCCGAGATTGCCTGCATTTCGTTTGTCTGTTTTCTTTCGGTTTCATACACTTTTATTATAGAGCGTCTTCTAGAAAAAAAAATTTAATTAGGAAAAAACTTTTATTAAATAAGGTCCTTAAAAGCTTCCTTTCGTTTATTGAGGGTGTTAAAATTTTATTTATTTATATAGTAGTCCAATGTTAATTAAAATTTGAATTATAAAATAAATTTATAAAGAAATAATATTGGTTTATTAGGGTGAATAAAGGAATGTTTTAAAGAAAATTTTTGAACAAAATTTTTACACCACGAACTGCTTTTTGCATAGTTATGTAAACATTTTAATACATATGATTGGGTACCCAATAAAAGTCAACCCCCTGACATTTTTTCGATTTTGTCTACACTGCTCTATAAGGGAGTTTTACCACCATTTGTACCATAATTAAAAGCAATAAAACCATGTTTAAAAAAAAATAATTTATTAAAGTAAATCCATTTTCCCTAAAAAAATATATTAGATAAAATTAGTAATTGTATTCATTGAAATTTACTTAATGGGTTGAAAACAAAATGTTTGTTTTTTTATCTTAGCATAAGGTAGAATTTTTCAAAAGAAAAAAAAAATTTTTACTCAACATCTTGAGGTGGCCCATTCGTTTTTTAAATAAATATATTATCAAATGGGTTAGTTCCAACGGGAAATTCTTTTTTTGGTCCAAAATCGTGGAAAACATGTGATTTTTTTCACCCAACTTTCATTATAAAACAAAAGAAAGTGCTTTTAATTTTTTACTTAAATTACAAAAACAATGGAAACATTTTTTTTCAACTTTTTACTTCCAATTGGCTTTTAAGGGCGACACCCTACAGATTCTAGAACAAAAAAAAGAATTTCCCGTTGGAACTACCCCATTTGATTAAATTTTTATTTAAAAAACGAGAGGGCCACCTCAAGATATTGAGTAAAATTTTGTTTTTCTTTTTTTATAAGGTAGAAATTCTACCCCTATGCTAAGAAAAAAAAAACATTTTGTTTTCAACCCACCCTATTACTTATTATAATAGAAGGTATACAATGGCGGATTTTTGATTTTGGTTTGGGGGGCACATAGGCTATTATGTGCTAAGAAATCTAAAAAATATCCTGTCTTTCTAAAAAAGTAATTTAGATAAAGTTAATATCTAATTGATTAACAGAATATACCTGGATAATAAGTTGTATTTTCACCATACAAAATTTGGTTTCGTTTGGGACTAATCAGTCAATTTCTGAAGCTATTATTCAACCAGTTGGCTCATTTTTTTAAGCTATTAAGGCCAATAAGGGATATTTATTTACTGGAACGTTTTTTGTATGTTATACTTGTTATTTAAAAAAATATAAATGCATATTTTTATAGGAAAAAAAATATTTTAATAAATTTATTCAATTCCTTAGAATTTTTTTTTTAACTAGTAAAAAAATTAAGTAACATTTTTTGTTTTCTTAAAAATATATGTATTTCTGATTTTTCAATAAATAATACATATAAATATACATAAAATCAAATATTTGCATATAAAAAATATGTACATATACCTATACAGAAAACTAAACGTCTAAAAAACAAAAGTCAGTTAATGGAATATTCCTTATAAATGGCCTAAAAACGCAAGTCAATTGCTTAAATAATAGTTTAAAAAATCGAGTGATTTCATTATTTTCTCATCAATATTTTTTGGTTTCAATTCCAGTCTAAAAATAATTTAAAATGTTAAAAATTATTATAATTCGGTTGGGAGTAGACAATTTTTTTTTCTTAAAATATTTTATCTACATATGTAAATTGTAAAACGCTTTAAAAATTATTATTTTAAATATGTAAAAGTCTATAAAATTTAATTTATTTGTTGAATAATGTAATTCTAAATTAATTAATGGAAAATAACTTTTGTGCATAATAATAATGGCAACATAATATATAATATATGTATATTATAGGTATTTAAATGAATGTTCATGTTTATTACTTACAAAATTAACTTAAACAGTGATTCACTATCATCCATTTCCGACTCTTAAAACTTTATTGGTCGCTTTATTGGCATTGAATGTTCAATTTGTCTTTTAGGTCATCTTTAGATTCTAAAAATTCCATGCAAATTTCTTTCAAAATCTGTCTTTTTGATTTCTGAAATAA